TCATAGCACAAGAAGAGTTTCCAGCCTCTACAGAATTTAAACAGCAAAATTCTTGCATTCAGAAATATTTCAGATGCTACTGTTGTGGGAAAAGAAAGTACACATCTATTCACTGTGCATGCTTTATGGTTCCTCTTGACAATTAAAGTCATAACAGTTTAAAATAAATCTTCTGAAAAAGTATATAAGGAGCGAATAAAGAAGTCATAAGATATACTGAAGTAAACAGAATTTTTATTTTTCTTATAAATCTAAGATACTAATTAATATAGAAATGATTAATATTTAATGGGGAAAGAAAAAAATTGTTTTGTGTTTGTGTAAAATGCTATAATAATTATAAGTAGTTTCAAGTTCCGTAGAGCATTTTCATGAAACATTTACTTTCAGCTTAAGGCTAAATTTTCTCATATTAAAATACAGCTCTTTCCAACAGAAATTACAAAATCTAAAAATTCTCAGGCAAAAGACTCTTCTAGAAAGAAGAAGGGAGAACAAAACCACATTATAAAATGTGTGTACACCAGGAAGAAAATTAAGAAGGTAGTTGGTCTTGTTCAGCCTGGAGAGGAGAAGGCTTAGGGAGCACCTAATATTAACCTCCAAACTCCTACACAGAGGTTCTGAAGAAGTCTCTTCACACCTGTCTCTGCAGCAATTAGTATCATTGAAAAGAGCAGACACACTTTAACACATGTGAGCCCTTTTTCAGATCTGGTAGAGAAGCAACATATTTCAAAGCCCAAAGAAGAATTACAGAGAGTTTAATTAGTAAAATTGTATTTAGACACTCAGATCAAGAAAGCCAACTACTTTCTGTCAGAGATGGTCAAAATGATACATGAACCACTAGATAAACAAATGATATCAAAATTATTATACACTACAGAATATTGCTACTTAAAAAATGTCCTTTTCATGTTTACTGATTTTCCTTTGATATACCTTTATACTCCAATATGCTGCATTATTTAAAAAGGCAAGTTAAATAAAATGTTCCACAACAATAGGAAGTTCAGTCTTCTCAGATACTGATCTTGGGTTTTTTTATTTGTACTAGAAGTAGCATTATTCTCCACATGGATTAAAAAGGAAAAGCAGTATAAGATGTACGCTGTCACTGTGTGATCATAGAAATTTAATGACAAGACATTAAAGTGACTAGATAATCCTGGATGCAACTTCATATCTTATAGAGAATTACTATGTAACTTCTAAAAGATCATTTTGCACTTGGGCTCCTATCTTTTTTTCCCGCCATTCTTTTTCCTTCAGTTTTTAAGTGTTCTCACTAACCTTTCCTCTTTCACCTGCTGCTGCCTGTGTCCTCCCTTCTCACATTATTGGTCTCTTCCATTGTTCCTCTTCTCAGGTCTCTTTTACTTCTTCAGTTTACTCAGTCTTACTCCTACATACCTATTTTTCCCTGGATGCTATTTGGGGACCACTGAAGGAACCAAAAGTAGCCAAGAGCACAGGAACAAAGTTATCCTCATTTTCACATCCACAAAAGGCCATGGGCAAAACAAAACAAAACAAAACAAAACAAAACAAAACAAATACAGTGTTAATCTACTTTGTTCTGACAGTCCTAAAGCCTGGATCTACTGAGTGCAAATGGCATCTTCAGAACTCTACCACACTCTCGAGAAGTGTCCACCCTCTCTATAAATCACTGACTCCTTGGAGATTTTTACCGTGACAAACACCAGAAAAAAACATTATTTTTTGTTGCAGTGTGTTGCAGTGATAATATCACCACATGAAACACCAATATGAAGTCCCAGATTGTGATGTGATAAGCTTTCAGTAGAATGACTGTTGTATTTTTAATGAGTAAAAACATGGTTTCTTCCTAACGTCTGTTTCAGGAGTAGCTATAGTACATTAGCAGAAATGTTAAAAATCAAAAGACACCAAAAAACTGTTGTTTGAGACAGACAGCAGTATGGTATGCTTCAGTCTAAATGGTTGACATCAGAGGAGTTAAACAGGATATAATAATAGCACCAGACATTTATCACCAGTATATATTTATAACAGATTTTTATATAGGTAATACAAACTAAATATTTCTATTACAACATTACAATCTAGCAAAAAGAGCACACGTGTTTGGACATAGATGTTAAGCATATAAAACTTCACCTACAGAATGATTTAAGTGGTAAAAGATAGTGCTCAAGTGAAGTATTTTAAAGAAAAAAAAATTCCTCTCACCTGAGACAATGTCAGAATGAAAGCATGTTTTCAGAACTTTTATTTTTAGTGTATGTTGAAAAAGGCTGATATGCTAAGAAGAAGTCAAAGTATTTATGAGACTGCCATCCACGATTACAAATTTTACCTACATGTGACATAACAATGGTTCAGTGTTCAGTGCTGGCATGTAGTAAGTGATCTGGATGACAAAGAACTTTCACGGTATTTTCCATTCATTTCTATCTCAAATTACCAGCCTGATGATGAATTATTATCCTTAAAGTATATTTATTTTTCTTAGGAACTGGAATTCAAATTTCTGAAACCAGAAACTTTAAAATAAACAATATCATGATACCTCTAAGTCATACTCTACAGTATATATATTTACTTTTGCTCCTAGCATTGTATTTCCCATTATATTTCAATTTAACATTTGTTCTGCTTCTTTTCTGCTTATAGTACAGACACATGCATTAGACGTTTCTGGAACCAGTGCCGTGCATTTTGAAAACTCAGGCATCTGATAACACTTTTAGGCATACAGGTGAATGAAAGCTTCACTTATTATTTAACAGTCTATCTATAATGGATACCTATTATGCAAACTAGTATTAAATCCCAAAAGCTTTCATAAACACACATAAAATATGGGTCAGATAAGCACAAAAGTGAATATTTCCTTTGTCTATTAAACTTTCTAGGAAATAAAATACATAAAAAATGGAACTTTGTACTGTATTCATTACGTGCCTTATAAAATTACTGTCATAATCAATGTAGTGCAACTGTAGTTTATATTTTAGAGTTCCATTGTAAATGTTGTCACTACCCTCTCAATAGCCAATCAACAAAATGTTCTGAAATGTTTTTATTTTCATATGATTTTTACTTTATGTGACATTTTAAAAGTGGAGAAGCACAGAATAATTGACAAGCTAGTGAGAATTTGTTCTACTTTTGTTCAAAGCAATAACCTAAGATTTTCAGAAGAGAGTACTCCAGTAAGGGGGGAAAAAAAAAAGAAAAAAAGATTAAAATGTAAACATGTCTGCTCTATTCTCTAAAAGTAGGATAAAAGAAAATTATTTATTAAAATGTCATTATGCTGGGTATAGTTTATATCAGAACACATGAAATCACGCTTTCATCACCAGAGATTGTCTTTAAAATTTAAAGTCATGATGTATCAAGCAGGATTTAAATTGAAGTAGTAGTAGCATTCTGTCCACAACCCTATCCAGCTGGTTTTTCCTACATCATTTTCTTCCCTAATAATTCCTAATTTGCTCATGTACCAATGTTTTGGGAGAAATATAAAAGCAAGTAGAGTCAATAGTAAAGCCCTTCTACTCTTAATTTCAATTTTCTATTGCTAGCAACTGCTTCCTGTAAAAGGAGTTGTTTTTTTAAAAAGAAACATTTTTCAAACTGCACCTACCAAAATTTGTATGTGTGAAGGCAATTTACTCATGTAGTCGTGATAATGATATTGATAGTAACTGCCTTTTTTAGTAGTATGTACCTTAGTCTTCTTGCATGTACAGCAATGGGTTTCTGAGCCAAAGTAAGAGAATTAGAGCATCAGATAAGCATATCATGTAAATATCTGTTGTACTTATATTTGAATGATATAGTTACACAGCTATGGACTCTATGTGTATGTACACTTCCACCAACTTTTAGGAAACCATGTTCAAACATCAAGGAACACAATGGTAAAATGCCTTCCTTCAATATACAACACAGAACTTACAGAGTAAATGACTTTTATAGGAAGGAAAGAGATTGTGTCTGGTGGGTGAATTGTCTTAGAAATAATTGGCTTTATATTCTGTGTTCATTTATATCTTTCATTACACCAACTTACTGCTAGTAGTTTTTAAAGCATTTGTTGCAAGTAGTGTTCATTGCATATCACGCAATTTTACAAATCTTGTTAGTTGATCTAAAATTATTGCATTAAATTACAATTCCTGAAAATGACGTTTTGCATAGGTGTGGCTATTCCTGCATAATCTCTACAGATTAGGTCTTCAGGTAACTAAAACACTTGGAAACTGGACAGTTGGATTTAAATGTTTTTTTGTTAAAGCCAAACAAGTCTTAACCAAGCATAAAGAAATTCTAGCTTGTCAGGATTTTGTAGTTTGGCAACAGTCATAACATTTTCCACAGACTGTAAAAAGCAAATGGAGGTGACCAAGCTACTTCATATCACCAGATTACTAGAAAATCAGACTGATCAAACAACTTATGTATCCTCAGCTGCCTTCTCAGATATGTCTGAGCATTTTCATGACACTTAAAAACCCCTCATGTTAAGATTTTTGCAATTACAGTTATAATTATTATTACTGAAAACAGCTAAGTAAAGACATTAACATTAGAATTATAAAATTTTCCTGCATGGAAGATTTCTTCTGAAATGTGTAAAACTTAATAAACCTGTATGTAACTGAACTCATTGTCTTGCAAGAGCCAGTGTCAGGCAGAGTTACAGGACTACTAATTCTGCCTCAAGTATCTTCTGTCAAATACTCAAGATTCTGGAATAAGCTTCTAGAAAAATAGGAATGTCTTAAGTTAATGCAATTAGACTCACTTGTAAAACAGCTGTAATTTTACTAGATATATTTCTAATGAGTATGTACTAGTCATTTAAAGAACAAATTTAAAAGAAAAAAGATACTAAACCCAAAAAACAAACTACTACTGAGCAGAAGAAAGAAAGGGAAGGGAAAAGAAGTATCAGGGAAGACAAATATAAGGTAATCAGGGTTTATAAGCCCCACTACCATTCAACACCAATAAACCATTCAACAACAATAAAGGAAGCTACTTTCTGGTAATGGTAGAGGTTTTTTTGCCACACTAGACTCCCAACTTAGTAACTGGTCAATGTTGTTCCACATTTCTGGACAGCTACAGTTAGGCAGGCACAAGACAACATGGCCAGGCTGGAACTGATCTGGACCTGCTGAGCACTCCAGCAGGTCAGATAAAGTCGTGCGATAATTCTCATGTCATGAGGGCCAAGGCTGACTCAGTACATCTCAAGAACATCTAGGAAGAAAGACTGGAAAAGGTCTTCCTCCTACACCTGCGTGGACCTCTAGAAACCACACCAAGACTACCGCTTTGCCTTATTTAGGCATCCGTTTCCTTGTTCCTTTCATATTCCCTTCTCATGCACAAACCTACCATGAAGAAACTATCCAAATTTTAACAGCAATATGAAAAATATATCAATTCACAAAAAGAATCTGAGATTTCATTTTACTTCCAAATAAACTTCAGATTACAATTGCCTTCATTGATTCTTAAATATAATTACTTAAATTTAATTTTTACTCAGTTATCTGCATATGCTTATTTAAATTTATTTAATGTTTGTAGTTTTTAATACTGATTTAATGTTTAAGTGAGTGCTAAATGTAGATTTACGCTTGTCATAATACTTACGGGTCTTTCGAGCAGAATCTTCTACAAAAAGAGAAGAAATGTCTTCATCCACCCCTGCTTCATTCTTTGCTATACAAGTATATGCTCCTGTATCTTCATAGCGCACATTGCTGATGTGAACCTCACTACCATTTGCTGAAAGAAGAAAAATTCAACATGCATACATGTTACAGTGCTTTCAGATTACATATTCTGAAGGTTTTCTGTGCTTATACTAATTAAACTACTTTCATTCCTGAGTTCATAACTTGGAGGTATGCCAAACTAATGCAAAGGTATTCAACTGTCCAGAGAATTACATGCACTATTATTCATCTCAAAGATTCCCAAAATATTTCAGCAGATTTTGCACTTCAGAGTCAAATATCAATCCAATATTTTATATATGTTTAAATGACTATGATTGCCTTTAAAATCAGGTAACTGTTGTGCTTTTATTATGTTGCATTTCATCACTTGACACTATCACTGGCTTTACACAAAATAACCCAGGTTTCCATAGAACATAATGGGCTAAAATTTCAATATAAATAATTATTAAAAATTATTTGTTTCTAGTAACCAAAGGCACCTGGTTTTGGTTTTATGTGAATGCATTGTAACCACAAAACAAACAGGTGCACTGGAATTTTACACCTACATCAGTGTAGAAGTCTATGGAAACCTCTTAAATTATGTGTCCGCTTGAGTAGGATTGTCAACAAATAGCCTAGGTTTCACAGGCAAATGTCTTTTTAAATGTCTTTGTGATGTGACCAGTGATTCCTTGCATATTCAGCATAATATACCTGTTCAACTGTAGGATCTGTTGTACAAAACTAGCTTTGTAAAAATGGACTAGAAGGTGTACTTGGTTATGGTGTAACACTCCTTCTAGATCATCTTTTAATTGAAGCTAATGCATAGACACTTTAATCCAGGAAAAACTCTGTGAAAATGCAATTTTCAAAAATTTGTTTCAAATAAGTACATTCAAGAAAAAGGAATTAGATGTATTTTGCTTAGAGAATGTATTTTGCTTTTATTTATCTGTTATAAATATATGATACAGAGGTGAAGGAAAAAAAAATTCCCTTCAGAATTTCCACAGACATTAATAGAATGCTGCTATGGAAGATGAGTCCATTAGTGTAAAGCGTTTCCTCAAGGCAATTATTCACATATATCCAGGAGAGAGGGCCGTGAAAGAACAGAGGGCTATGGCACCTATAGGGATGATAAGACTATTTTCAGAGAACCATTTATTGCCTACCTGTCCCACTGTTTTTTACACTGCAGCCTGATTGCTATCCCACCCTAATACACATCCTGGTTTTGCTGATGAACGAGAGGTTTTGAAAGGAACACTAGCAGCACAAGTTTTTCATATGGCTGATCAAAAATGACCAGAGGGACTGTAAACTAGAAGGTTTTGTGCTGGGCAGGTTTGTTGAATTTGCTGACCCCTGAAGACTCAGAGACTGGCCTTTAATGTTGATTAAAAGTAACTTTCCTTTAGTTTTCAGGCGCGCTTTTTTTTTTTTTTTTTTTTTTTTATTACATTCCCCTTACAGTTTGCTGAGATCTCTGAGAAAGCAGCACATCCATTTCAGGCATTTTTCCTCCTGTCCTTTCCACTATCAGGTTCCCCAAGTCTCCCTGAGGTTCTCATCAGTCAAAAAAATTGTTTTCTATTGAGCTGCAGTAAAGGTAAAGTATGGTCCATGTTCTGATCTAAATTTAAAATGAGGCTCATGAAAAATAGCTAGATTAATATTAATGCATTAGAATAACTCTTTACAAACAAAGCATTGTTTCAAAATCTAAATATTATTGTTGAATACTCATTGAATGGCACTAATGTAGTGAAAATTCTAATACTGGGCTCCGACTGGGCTGCTTGCTCTACTCAGAAATCACACATTTTTCAATAGAGAAAGCATACTGTAATTTATTGGTAATCCTGCCAGCAAATACAGCCATTATTCTAACAAAGACAAAGCAGAGAAGATAGATGTCTTGGGGAGCAACTAGAAGACACCTGAAATCTTTTAACTTACACTTCAACCCCTGATTGAAGCTATGTAAGAAAGACAGTTAGTACAGCAAGCATGTGCTGATAAAGCATTCACAGCCTGTAGAAAACAACAAATACACCCCTTTACCTTGAAGAGTTAACTGTTTGGATAACTTTGGAGTGATATCAATTCCATTCTTGAGCCAACCAAGTTGTGGATTGGGAATACCTTCAGCATGGCACCGAAGGCTAGCTGTCACACCTGGCTCCCTTGCCTGGCTCTCTGGATAGACTCGGATGACTGGTGGAACTGAAGACAGGAAAGAATTATAATTCAGTGAAGAAGAGCATTATCTTCATTTCAAGAAAAAATATTATAAACAATTCTAAAGACTCCTGCAGCTATATATAACAACATACAGATGTAGCATTAGACACGTATTCAGTGACATTCAATGTTCAACCCTGTCAGAGAAAATTCATGAGGCAGAAAGAATGTTCTGTGGGAAAAACCTCTTTTCACTGTGTGTGTTATCAATGAAAAACACCTGAATTCTAATTCAATAGTTCAGGATTCAGTAATAATATTTTTATTTTCCCCTAAATTTCTTTTATGAATAACATACAACTAGTAAGTTGTGATGCGAAGTACAGAGATTGTAATTGTCCTGTTTCACAGACCTTCAACACGTCATCTCCACCTTTCCTCTCTCTCCAAAACACCTATCTGAGATCCATTCTACCTGTATAAAACACATAATCACAGAACCAAGTAAAGGTTGAAGTTGAAAGGGATCTACGGTTGTTGTTTTGTCCAGGTCCCTTGCTCAAGCAAGGCCACCTAGAACCAGTTGCTGGGGACCATATCTAGGTTTTCCAGTATCTCCAATGAGGAAGACTCTACCAACTTCCTGGACAATCTGTACCAGTGCTTTGTCACCCTCACAGTAAAAAAAAGTATTTCTTGATGTTCAGACAGGACCTCCCGTGCCCAGGATACCATCTGCCTTCTTTACCACATGGCCACATCGCTGGCTCATGTTCAACCTGGAGACCATCAGGACCTCACGTCCTTTTCTTCCAAGCTTCTTTCTACCTGGGTAGCCTCGAGCACATATTGGTGCCTGGGGGTGTTCTTCTCCAGGTGCAGGACTTCACACTTCTTGTTGAACTTCATAAGTTTCCTGCTGGTCCATTTTTCCAATCTATCAAGTTCCCTCCAAATGGCAGCATGACCCCTGGTGTATCAACCACTCTTCTTAGTTTGGTATCATATGAAAACTTGCTGAAGGTACAACTCTGCCCCATCATCCAGGTCATTAATGAAGATGTTAAACAGGACATTTAACAAGACCAGTCTTCCAAGCTTCATTATTAGTAAACTGTAAGAATTGTTGACATCACTTTTCCAAGGTTTAGAAACATACTGCAGTATATGCTTACCAAACAAAAATCTGCCGCATACCACACTTCGGTATTGGCAGAGGGAGGGCATATGACATCACAGTAGACATACTTCTATTGGCATTCAATGATTAAGCTATGAAGATTTTTTAGATGAATAATTATTGATCTTATCTTTAATTACTTATAGAGACAACTTCTTGAGGTCATTTCTAGCAACAAAAAAAAGTAACTACAATGAAGATCAAAGAAGCTTATTTCCTACTCTCCCAATTTTTGTTTAATGTAGCTTTAAACATGTGGAACACTTAGTCGGTGTTGCAAACCACAGCTGGGTAGAGGATGAAGTATTAGTTGATAATAAGAACAAAAATTAACTGTGTCTGTTTGGGCATGAGATAATATGTTTTCAAATGCTTTCCAGCTGTTTACAAGAAATGATCCAGCATGTTGTGCTATTAGAGCATAAAAATGCTTCATATTTCTACACTGCAAGAAATACACAAATGTATTCTTATCTCAGATAGGATCCAAAAATCAGTAAGTTTCAGGCATATTTTAGACCCAGCTAGAGATAAGGGTCTTTTTGAGTAAGATACATGGAAAGTTACACATAAGGCCAATATGCAAACTGCAAAAATAAAATAAAAAAACACGGAAGAAGATTAAAAATGTGAAAATTACAGCTTCTAGCTTCTTAGGCTACAGGCTAGAGAGTTTCTGGAAGGGACTCTGCTCTTATGGACACAGTTCTCTACTTTTCATCTCAAGCCTGACATTCCCATTCCTAACTTCTTCCCTGTTCTGTCTTCTCTCCTGTAGCTTCTGTGAGTTCCATACTGAGAACTTGCCTTCCCCACTGTATTCCTCAGGCTGAGCCCCACTCAGCCTCATGCTCAGATGGCCTGAGCCTCTTTCAGCACCTCAGCTCTCATTCTCACTCTGCCTCACTTTCCTAAAGTCAAATTTTCATGTTTGCCCTGTTCTGCATTTCTTGACAAAAGGACCTTTAGACAGCCTACTCTATGTTGCAGATTTCCACTGCATCAAAGACAAATAGTTTATTTCTCCACCTTGCCTCAAGAAAAGCAAGGAACTCCATCTCCTTAAAGTCAGGATTGCCATCATGCAAAACAGTCAAGTACCTCAGTCATACAAACAAACTCCAGGATCAACAGCAAGGCACTGTGATATATTGCATTCTGATTACCTATGACAGGATATTTCTTGTCTTTTTTGTGCCAGGGAAATACTCTCATTTCATATAAAAACTTATGAGCATTTAACTACTATACTTTGACAGAATTCTATTGAGTGTATACAAAGAAAAAACTTCAACAACTTTAATTGGATGGAAAAAGGAATGCATTAGCTTAACTTGGGCAAAAGGCAATGGTATTCTTAGCATAGTCTTATAAAATATTATGACTGAAATCAAATACTTTCTAAACAAATAAAATCAAACCCTGCATCACAAGATGCTACTACTGCTAAATTAATAACTCAGTCATTAGGTGGTACGAAGATGAGTACCTGCTCAAAAGAAAGCAGGTGTGACTTTTCCTCTACCCTCCCATATTTCTGTAGCAGAACCTCTTCCCTTTAGCAGTTTTCCCAGACAGAGAGGTACTTAAACAACAGTTGTCCTATCTTTCCTCCATTTGCTGTCATTTCTCATTTTTTTCAGCAAATCTGTATCTGATCAGTTATTTATTAAACTAGAAACATTTTTCAACCCTTGTTTTGCACCATATTATTTAATTTCATATTGCCCTGGAGCCTACCTCTATTATATTGCCAAGAATTTTGCAACTGAGACATGCATGCAATTAAACTATGAATGCATTGTAGTCAAAATTTTAATTTGATATTAATTTGATGTAAAGCCTCTGGGTTCTTTTCAATCATTGTTTTGTGTAACTTACCATAAATGTTACCAGGAAAAAAATTTTAAGTACACAACGTGATTGTTCACACTGACTTTCAAAGAAGTATATTCTAATATCTTAACTTAAAGAAGCCTACTTTATTAGGGAAAGGTCATTACATAGGTTAAAAAGTAAGAGAGAAAAAGACATTACTGGACTGTATTTAACAGAATCCTACATAATATACAATTGAATGAATCCTACATCCCTTATTACTCAGATCAAAAAGCCATATGGGATTGTTGGTTCCAAATACAGTGAATGTATATCAATTCAATATGTCTTTAATTGTTATAAAATTCACTGAACATTATTTCAGTTAGATCTAATAGGGGGATTGAGGAGGTCAATGGGAGGAGGAAAGGGTGGCAGGGGGAAGAGAGAAAATAGTCTGTTCAAGTTTTCTGGAAACAAGGGAGAATATATATGTTTGAGAAAGAAACATATATAGTGAACTATGTTCTTCTATTGCTGTATGTGATAACTTCTTTTGATTAAATTTAACTATTTTATATAGAAAAACAGAAGTGGTAAAAAATTCTTCAGACACTATAAATTATCAATTTGTATCTGGATAAGGGTTTGAACTCTTCTTTCTTCAACTTAAGGTAGCAAAATATGTGGCCTTTTGCCTAGGAACTAAGGTGGGGATAATTCTTATCACCACTATGCAAAGAACTTGCCTTATAAATCAATGTGAAAGCTCAGGATACTACTGTTAATAAATAAACAGAAAGAAAAATATCATATTTGGACTACATATATATTAAGTTGATTTGTAACATGCAACAAACTCATAGCATTTTTAGAGCAGGTTTGAATTTGAAAGCAGTCTTCCTTTCTGTTTGTAATACGGCCAGTGACATTTTGTTTCTTCATCTAGAAACAGCTTTCCAAATGTGAAATTTCTCAAATTTACATTTTGAAAAATCTAGGAAATAGTGTGTATGTACTTGTAAAACAGATAAAACTGTTATTAAAAAAATAATTTTAAAACTCATCTAGACATCATGTCTGTAACTGTCAGTGTGATCAATAATATTAACATGCCAGCCAGGAGAGGAGCGCTGCTGCACCTTGTGCTCACCTGAAAGTAAGGTCTGGTTGAAGCACTGAAGGTTGAGGACAACCTTGGTTGCAGCAACCATGAGATGGTGGAGGTCAGCATCTTGTGCAGCAGGAACAGAATACCAAGCAGGATCGAAACCCTGGATTTCAGCAGGTTCAGCTTTGGCCTTTTCAAGTAATTGTTAGGAGAAATCCCATTGGGACAGGGTACTAGAAGGCAAAGGGGCCTGAGAGAGTTGGTCAGTATTCAAGGACCACTGCTTCCATGCTCAAGATGAGTGTATCCCAGCAGGTAGGAAATCAAGAAAGAGAACTATGAGACCCGTGTGGTTAACCAGGGAACTGCTGGGCAAACTCAAGTGGGAGAAGAGAGTCTAGAGACCATGGAAGGAGGGGCTGACAACTCGGATGGAATATAAGACTGTGGTCAGAGGATGTAGGGAGGCAACTAGGAAACCTAAGTCCTCCTTGGAATTAAACTTTGCAAGGGAGGTCAAGGACCACTGAAAAGGCTTCTTCAAATACATTACTGACAAAAATAACACTAGAGGCAATGTAGGCCCTCTGGTGAATGAGGTGAGTGCCCTGGAGGCAGAGGACAGAAAGAAGACAGAGTTGCTGAATGCCGCCTTTGCCTCTGTCTACCCTGTTGGAGACTGCCCTCAGGAACCTCAGAACCCTGAGGCCCCAGAGGAAGTCAGGATAAAGGAGGAGTTTGCCCTGGTTGAGGAGGACTGGGTTAGGGATCAGTTAGGATGCTTGAACATCCATAAATCCATGGGCCCTGATGGGATGCACCCATGGGTGCTGAGGGAGCTGGCAGAACTCATTGCTAGGCCACTCTCCATCATCTTTGGTAAGTCATGGGGAACAGGTGAGGTGCCTGAAGACTGGAGGAAAGCAAATGTTA